CACAAGCAAAAAAAGACAAAAAAAAAAGAAGGAAAACGGGGACTCCCAAAACAAAGAAAATCACGAGCAAAAAGAAGTTGGCGCGGTTTCCAGCGCGGGTCCACCTCCTTCCCTGTTGTTCCCTTCCACTCAGAAGAGAAATAGGCAGCCACACACCCACGCACGGAGCTGTCGCTCGTGACCTGCGGAGGGGCCGTGGGCAACGGCGCTTCTGTCGTCACCGGAGGGGCGGGCTTCTCCTTCACGAGCGCCTTCAGCTCCGTGGTGTTCAACAGCCGGCTGTACAGCAAAACGTTCGTCAGCATCACTTCGTTCCCTGCGCCCCCTGCACCCCGCACCGGCTTCGCCGCCCCCCAAAAAGGACGTGCACCAACTCATCCTGCGGCGGCAGCAGTATTTCTTCGGCGGCCGCCCCATCGCCCGCGTCCGTCGTGCTGCCGGGAACCGACGCAGACACGAGAGTGCCCCCCAGCGGCCCATCCTCTCGCCGCCAATGTGGGCGCCTCCCCTGCCGCCTGTCCGCCAGCGCTTGTTCCCGTCCTAGCTCGGGCTCAGCTCCTGCACGTGCCGGTCTACGCCCACGCCCACCGAAGCTGTACGCCGGCGCCCCTGCCCGCTCAATCACTGGCCTCACAATCCGCAACGCGGGCCTCGTCAGGTTAAAGCCATCGACAATCCTTGTCACGCCACTTACTGCAGCGTTCATCCAACGGTAATCGCCGGCCCATTGGGTGGCATTCCCAGCGCCGGACAAAAAGCCAACTAACCCATCCGCAGGCACGGGAGAGCTGCAGACTGCCCAGCCTTGTGACCCGCTGCTGCTGCTCGGTGAGGGGCACAAGAAGAAGGCTGCTTGTCTCACTGTCCCTTCTCTCGCACACGGCAAACAAGTTATCATCCTTTGCGTACAGCAAAGCACTGAAGCCGTGACTCTGCAGTGGCCTTCGGCGCCTTGCCGCTTTCCTCCCTGCGCCGGTGTGTGGCCCCAACACCGCCACCGACAATTACTCAAAGATCACAGCCTCGTTGCGGTGGCGGAGCGAGGCCCGCCCGCCAGCCGCCGAAGGAAAAGGGAACCCACCCCATTCCTCAGACAAGAAACGCGCCTCGTGCAGGGAGCACAAGTCCACCGCGCCCCGGTGCCAGCACCAGTCCTTTCAGCAGGAGCACGCTCCAACCACTCCACTGTGCCCTGCGAGACACAGAGGGACAGTGCCGAGTCTGCGCGTGCAGCGGAACGGCCCGAGGTCACGCCCCACCCCAAAGCACCGCCGAAGTCGCGTGTTCCCGCTCTGGTAGAACAACGCCCGCCCCAACCCTGGCATACCAACGGCAGCGCGGGAACTGCACCACCACCGCACTGCAACCGGTCGACCGGCCTCACCAGAGGAACTGCCTGCAACTCCACCCGTCCGCTCTCTGGCAGTGTTCAGCCTTGCAGGAAGCCGCCGCCCGGATCGAGACGCGCGATGTGCCGCAGGATGGCGACGGACTCGAAGACGCAGCCCTCCTCTGTCTGCAGCGCGGGGTAGCGGCCGCACGGACTGAAATTGCAGAAACACCTCCTCCATCCCGTTCTCGCGGCCAAACCATCACGGCCTGGGCGTCACGGGCATGTTGGCGAGGGCCGCCGCCACCTGAACACTCGTGCGTGCACGCGTCCTCAAAGGTTCACACCGCTCCACAGCGTGCTCGACATGGCGTGTGTGTGTGTGTTAGCTCCTACACATGCAGAGGACATGCACGGACAAAAAAAACAAGCAATAAGAAAAGGAAGGACTGCAAGATGCAATGAGACGGCAAATCAGCACGAATGACAGCTAGGCGCAGAAACAGAAATGTATTGGAAGCACAAACACGCAGCGCGAGGAATAGGCGCAGTCGACAAAAAAACACAAACAAACATAAAAAACAAAAAACACATCCCGTAAAGTGAAGCCGAAGCGTGGGCACGTCCACCGAGTAGTGGGGACGCGCAGCAACAAGTGGGACGGTCAGTACACACACATGCTCTCCTTCTTCCCTTTGAGCACAGTCCAGGAAGAGAGAAAGATATGGCCCACAAAAAAAAAATAATTTGAAACAAAAACCACTTCCATGTCTTTCGCAGAAGTGGTGGAAGTACAAAGTGGGAGTTGCAGTTGCTTTACAAAAGGACCGCCGAGGCGCAGTTAATGTGTGTGGGTACGTTGCATTATGACCGTGTTATACATCTTGACTGCGTGGTTCCACAGTCCACGGATACATATATATATACACATATATGCACATTATTATCCCACCACACATTTTTTTTTTGCCCAGCCGCTGCTGCTGCTGCTGCTCAGAGAGCCGCCATCGCCACGGCGGCGGCCACGGCGAGAGCCGCAAGGGAACTGAGGCCCACAGCCATAACTGAAGTGTCACCGATTCCGAATCCCTTCCCCCCGTGATTCCCGTTTCCTCCAACGCTGCTTTTCCCATACGGGTTCGGAGTAACCTCACCACGCATGCTGGTTGGGTTGCGTTCCGGGTTGGTGGTGTGCGACGGATACGTTGAGGGCGAGGCATCGGGCTCAGGATGAGTGCCGCCTGATTCATCATTTGTGTCTGCAGGGTCTGACTCCTCCGCCAGTGGTGGGGCAACGACTGGTATTGGGCGGGCAAATAATTTGGGGAGGACTGTGCACACGTCGGCATATTTGGGGCACCTGATGCCCCCGCGCCATTCGTCCCCCGACGGCGCAACCATCTCGCCCTCATTGCAGTCGTACCACGTGCCGTCGCCAAGAAACTGCACCCTCAGCCTACCCCCACTGCACTGCGTGTTCACGCACACATCGCCAATCTCTTGGTAATCAAAGCGAAGCCCCTCCCCCTTTACACACCGTGAGCTCGAGCCAATGAAGCTTCCAGGGAACTTATTAGGGTCACCGTTTAGACACCCAGACGCCCCACGCCCCAAAACATACGGACAGTAGTCCGTAAAGTCCCAATTAGCGCCAACTCGGGGGTCATCAAAGTACTGAAACTGCGGTGGAAGGGACTTATTGTGAGTCTTTAGCGCACAGTACCCCAGAGAAAGACGATCATACGCGCAGAACAGCCTTCCTTTAAATGACTGCTGCTTGCAGAACAACTCAGGGTAGTCGGTGCGGCCGTTAATGAAGCACTTATTTTCCAGCAGCCCGCAACCAGAGTTGTTGCCCCACCGCAACGGGTCCGCCATGCCGTAGTTGGCCTTGTACACACCCATGTCTTCAAATGCCGCAAGAGTGAATGCCGAGTAATATAAAAGCTTACCCGCAGGAGCCATCAACTCACCCATTGCATTGCGTTCCTCCCAGTGACTCAAGCTTGGATTCGGCCCACCCCCGTCCTCCAGCTCCATGCCCGCGAGTGTGGGGCAGTTGTAGTACTTCCTCGCCAGCTCCTTCACCTTCGGTGAGGAAACCACCCACACACCCTTCTTCCCACGCACATTGGGGATGATGGAGACCATATTGAACATCAAAAGGCATTCAAACGAAAACCCAAGAGCGTGCCCAATTTCGTGCGCTGCAGCACCAACTAATTCATCAGTGGCCTTTATGTGCCGAGGGTTGAAGTTCACGGCGCCCGCGTACGGACGTCCGTCCTTCAGAAAGACGCACATATTTGCCCATGCAATGGCACTTCCACTCACGCGAGCGTCGATGTAGAGCACCATGTCGGCGCCGCTCACACCGATCGTGTGGTGCCAGGGAGGGATAGTGAAATCGTGGCACAGCCCTAGATCTTTCTCTGGTATGGGGAGGGGACCCTCCACAGGCCTCACGGACAGACGCTCAGCGTGCAGCTTAATTGCGGCCGGGAGGAGTTGCTTCAAAACGATGTCCTTCTTTGCCTCCGTCAGCATAATGTCCTCCGTGCATTCCTGCCAGTCGCCATCAACCAGGCGCCAAGGCCTTTCTGCGGTGCAGTGCTTCGACGGGTCGTCCATATCCTTCGCGGACACTTTGATGCGGATCGGGGCCCACTCACTCCCCACGCCTTGTGCGGCGACAGTGTACGCCTGCATCTCGCCCTGTCCTCTGCGCGGCACATCACGCACCACCGCAGTCGCCGGCGGCCACCTCCCCATCATCTCGTCAAACCCGCAGCTGTGCTTCCGGTCGGAATCGACAGCGAGGCACCCAGCGGCACAACACACCAACAGCAAAAACACCGCCAGTGATAGAAACGGCATGCTGCGGGGTGGCTGGCACATCGCCTGAAGAAACTGCCCGTGTTGCTTCCGTTTCAACATCAGCACCGGCATTATTAGTGGTAGCAGTAGTAGTGGTGGCGCAGACCCTTTAGGCGGTGAAAAAAATACACAAAAAAATGAATACAACGATAGGCACCGCCCGCACCCACAGTTGGGCTCACCGCAAAAAACAGCGGCAGTCCACAACTGAGGCCGCACCGACAAACGCATGGGCCGCACAATCACGCACTCGCCGCCCCCCACAGGAGACGGCAGCCGCAAAGAAGGCGGCGGTAGCAGCGACTGTTGTGCGCGGCCCGAAAGAAACACCCACACGCACCCGCACGGAGAGTCCGCAGTGTGGGACGCCCCCGAAGACACCAAAAAATAAAAATAAAAAAATTCATAACCACCTCGCTTACCGTCTACCCCGCCCAGCCCCTTCAAACCCTGCCAGCAGCAACACGCAGTGCGCATGCCGGCGGGACCTCCCATCACGACCCCCACAAACTCCACAAAAACCCCAACGTCCCCACCTCCCTCAGCGCACTGCAGCAGGAGTGGGGCGTGGCGTAACAAAAAATAAAATTGAAAAAAACAATAAAAACAATACAAAATAAACGGTGCACGCAGTACCACCACGACAAGAGACATGCAGCAGATGCCTTCACTCTGCAGCCACAAAAACAAGCTCTCGCAGCGACACCACCGCCACTAGCAACCCAGCCGCAATCGCCCGCCTCCCAGCCGCACCGCGGTGCTCGTGGAAGTGAAGCACCTCAGCGAGGCTGAGGAAAAAACAAGAAACCGCTTCAACCACCACGCACGGCATGTACGCCTCCATACGATGTCGCCACCCGGCAGTGACGCACCTTCCGGCCCAAAAAAAACGAGCTATGTTCTCCTCCTCTTTACGCTGAGCAGCACCCGGGGGGGCAACGGCGTCACACACCCTCCACGTGTGTTGATTGGCGCACTCGCAGCGTGCCGCACGCAAATAATTTCCCCCTCGACAACTCGTCAACGAAAGTTTCCCCATTTTATTAAATACACCTCGCCGTGCACTCAC